GAAGGAAGAAAAGAGAGGCGGCAAAGCCGTTGAAGACCGTGTTGAGGAGGGCCACCTGGTAAAAGCTGGTGAAGCCCTTGCGGTTCTTCAGATACTTTGCCCACTGCTGGTCAGCGATGGTGGCCTGGCTCACGTGCACCACCACGGTGCAGGTGGCCAGAAGGATGAGCAGCCACTGGCTGTAGCTTCCCAAGGACGTGAAGTAGGCCCTGCCTTCCTTTTGGATGGAGAGGGACTCGGAAACCACAAAGTAGACCACAAACACCATGAGAAAGACCTGCAACGTAGGGGCGGAGGAAGAGTTCATTCATAGAATCCTAGGTCCGGCATCATGTCCAGCCCCCTGCCCTAAGCAGGACCAACCCCAACTCAATCATCCCAGCCAGGGCTTTGTCAAGCTGGGACTTAAACACCTCTAGGGATGGAGATTCCACCCCCTCCCTAGGGAACCCATTCCAGTGCTTCCCCACCCTCCTAGGGAAATCGTTTGTCCTAATATCCAACCTAGACCTCCCCCACTGCAACTTGAGCCCATTGCTCCTTGTTCTCTCATCTACCACCACTGACAACAGCCTTTCTCCAGCCTCTTTGGAACCCCCTTCAGGGAGTTAAAGGCTGCTCTCAAATCCCCCCTCACTCTTCTCTTCTGCAGACTAAACAGACCCAAATCCCTCAGCCTCTCCTCATTGGTCATGTGCTCCAGCCCCCTCAGCATTTTCACTGCCCTCCGCTGGACTCTCTCCAATACGTCCACATCCTTTCTGTAGTGGGGGGCCCAGAACTGGACACAATACTCCAGAGGTGGCCTCACCAGAGCCGAATAAAGGGGAACAATCACTTCTCTAGATCTGCTGTCAGTGCTCCTCCTCGTGCACCCGAATATGCCAGTCACCTTCTTGGCTACAAGGGCGTCCTGTTGACTCATATCCAGCTTTTCATCCACTGGAATCCTCAGGTCCTTTTCTGCAGAACTACTTAGCCATTTGGTCCCCAGCCTGTAACAATTCTTGGGATTCTTCCGCCCAAGGGCAGGACTCTACACTTGTCCTTGTTGAACCTCATCAGATTTCTTTTGGCCCAATCCTCTACTCTGTCTAGGTCACTCTGGACTGTATCCCTGCCTTTCAACGTATCTACCTCTCCCCTTAGCTTAGTGTCATCTGCCAACTTGCTGAGGGCACGATCCATCCCCTCATCCGGGTCATTAATAAAGATGTTGCATGAAACCGGCCCTAGAACTGATCGTTGGGGCACTGCGCTAGAAACCAACTGCCAACCTGACATCAAGTCATTGATCACTCCCCGTTGGGCCTGACAATCTAGCCAGCTTTCTATCCACCTTACAGTCCATTTATCCAATCCATACTCCCTTAACGTGCAGGCTCGAATATTGTGGGAAACGTTCAGAATATTCTGAAGAAGGTGCCAGAGTGGGGCTGTGCTTGTGAGCCCGGGTGGCAATTACAGAATGGCGGTGCTGTCAGACGGTCATCACGGCCCTGCCTGCTGGCCCTTGGACGGCAGAGAGGGGGCCCTACTACTGGCCGTGAGCTCCCGGGACGTTGCGATGGCTGACTTGCTGGTGATTGGTGGGCCAAAGCTCCCCCTCCTCTCTCTGGCCTCTGAGGGCCCACCTTACTATCAGCACAATGCTCCCAGCCTAGGGAGCTACTCGGCCAGGCCTTGCCTTCGAGCAGCCGTGTGCTGAGCTCCTGTGAGACCAGCGAGGGGCAACCTAGGCTAGAGAGTGGGTCGCATGAGTGGCTCTCCTGTATCGCAGGGGGCTCCCGCGAGAGGCTAGTTTTGCTCATTGCTCGTGTGTCCCTAGCATTTGTGGGCGGTGCCGAGTGAACCGTAGCAGCGCTGTGATTGGACGCAGAGGGAGCGCCCGGCTCTCATCGTCGGTGTGCGTCACTTTAGTAATGTCGGGAGGAAAAAACCCGACGTGGATGGAAACCAGTGGACTCTGGCCCCGCTGCGTGTGGGCACGAGTGAAGAAAACGTCTCGCGGGCCACGCACAGGACCGCACTGGGCTGCACGTTGCCCACCGCTGGGTTAGACCGTGCGGGCCTGCCCAAGCTGGGGTAGATCAAAGCATAAGGCTCCAGGACCCTCCCCCGGTGCCTTAGGACAAACTCTGCCTTGCTGGTGGATCCTGGGATTGCTGGGTTTTGCCTGTCAAAGGACCCTGCCCATGCCACAGCCCCAAAGTGTCCCCCATCGGTGCCCGGGCCTTGTCCACGAGGGGAGAAGGTGACGTACGTTGGGATTCTGCCGGAGGAGACATTTTTCCCTCTCCCGCCCAAGGAACACTCCTCCACCAGGGAGAAGGTCCGTGCCTGTAGCTCTTGGACTAACAGCGGTAAGATGGTGGGTGGCTAGGGCAGGCCAGTCTCCGTCGCCGGGCCCAGCAACAGGAGGGGGAAGCGTCAGCCAGTGAGTTGGAGTCATGGGTGCCGGAGGTGACTGTTCTGAGCCAACAGCACAATCGGCCTCGGGGTGGGAAGGAAAAGTGGATCCTTCAACAGACCTACCCACAGCACAAGAGTTGGGCGTGTCTGGAACTGGGGTCCTGGCAGCAAGCAGAGCAGGGTGAGTAACTCCCCCCGCGAGCCGTGTGACAGAGCAGGACTACTGGGCGTGCAACACTACCTGGACTCTGAGCTCGGGGGCCTGCAGAAGCCTGTAACTGGGGTGCCCTGAATTCCTCTCCCCAGGCCGGCTGGAGAGGAGCAAAGCTGCTGGACTGACCATCATGACAAGCTGCAGCGTGACTCCCCCGCTGAGCCGCAGCAGGGGGAAGGGCCACGGGGAACTCCAGCCGCAGGGTGATGGCGGCGTGCAGGTCCACGCTGGGGTTGTACTGCGTCAGCTCCACGAAGACCGCTCTGCTCCTGCCGGGACAGAGAAGCGGCCGCCAGGTCAGACGGGGGGAAGGTGACCGTCACGTCTGGCGGCAGCCCAGCCCCCTGCCCAAAGCAGGACCAAGCCCAACTCAGTCAGCCCAGCCAGGGCTTGGGAAAACCAGCCCAGTGCTTCCCCACCCGCCTCGGAGAATGGATTTTCCTCATCTCCAACCTAGACCTTCCCCCACTGCAATGTGAGCCCATTGCTCCTCATTCTGCCCCCACTGAGACCAGCCTCTCGCCAGCCTCTGTGGAACCCCCTGCCGGCTGCTCTCAAATCCCCCCTCACTCTTCTCTTCTGCAGGCTAAACAAGCCCAAATCCCTCAGCCTCTCCAAGTCCTGTGCTCCAGCCCCCGAATCATTTTTGTCGCCCTCCGCCGGACCCGCTCCAATCGCTTGTAGGTTTGGCATGAGGCACCTCAACGACCTGCACTGAAAATGCAGGTGAGAGAAGGGGGCTCGGGACCATTCCCAAATCACAGCCAAAGTCAGGCCTCCCCTCGGCTGCTTACATGTTGTTGATCCAGTTGTTTTGCTGGAGATAGTCCACCCGGGCTCTGCTCTCCGCCAGCGTGGCTCCCAGCTCCTGGACGTAACCTCCGCTGTCGTACACCGAGAGGGCGCCCCAGTACCAGACGCTGCGAAAGAAAAGGAGCCGCCGTTGCATGTGGGCTTCCGGGAAGGGGCGGGTTTAAGTTTAATCCATCCAGGGCGCGTGAGACATTTCAAACAAAAAGGGTCTTAATTGAAATGGCCCAAGCCAGGCCCATGTCCACTCCCTTCCCTTCCTAACACACCCCCCAGAAATGCCCCATAAACGCTAGAACCGGAGCTCTACCGAGCAGAGACCCAGGCTTTATGGCTGCTTCCTGCACCCCTCGAGCTGGCAGGAACAGGGAGCTGCCACCACTGTGCCACGCTTCCCTTGCTGGGGTTTTAACTGACTCAGGAACTCACCCCTGCTCTTAAAGAGCAGGTTGGAAGGATCGGTCCCCTGGTGCGTGCCCCCTCTGCATTGGCAAAGCGCCTCACGGCGGCACTCGCCTGCACGCTCAGAGCTCCACTCTTTTCCACGCCGCCTGCATGCCACAAAACGACAACTAAGGCGCATGGGGCAGACCCGCGCCAGGCCTGCTGCATTCATGGGGCGCGGCTGGGCGAACTGGCACGACCGCTGGAACCCAACGCTGCGGCCGCATTCAGGAAACGCGCGTGTGGAACAGGCAGCTTCGTACCCGGCGAGGTCAGGCGGCGAGTAGGACCAAGACTGGGTCAGATTGACAGATACCCTCTCCCAGCCCACCGCGTAATGGCCCGCTGCTAGAGGCGGACGTGCAGGTCTTCGCCGCCGTGGGGGCATCCGTCCCGCCGAGGAAATCGTGAACGGTATCCAGGCATTCTGCGGAAAAGAGGCCCGTGATGTGTTACCATGGCAATGACAAGACATGAGACGGGCTGTGATGGGCTGTTCGCTCCCCCCGAAGGGGGGCAGGTAGCGGGGAAGGGGCAAGGACCCAAGCAGACGCCATCTGGGGGAGAAGGAGGCTGGAGAGAGAAGTGCTAATGGAAGGTGAAGCTCAGCTGAGCAGCGGCAGGCTGGGCCAGTACAAAGCTAGAAGCGGAAGGACCCCAGGGTGGGCCCAACACAGAGAAAGGCAAGAGAAGCAGGAAGGAGCAGAGGGCAGGAGCAATAGGGCTTGGAAACAGGCGGAGCATTGTCGCTGGTTGGCACATCTCTGGGCTGCAACCCGGAGTAGGGGGCCGGCCCGGGCTCCCCTACCTGCCCCTGGGGAAGTGGGAATCACAGAAAACTCTGGGATGGTACCCGGGGAGATTGTCCACTGGACTTGGAAGGGGAAAGCTACATGGTGTCGTGGCCGGAGGGCTGAGTCACGAAGAATTAGCACTGCGAGACAGGCTGTGGGGTGAGTGATGGAAGGGGGCGCTCCTCCCCAGACCCAGCCACCGGGGGTCACTGCTTCCGGGTGTAGGGAGACCCATCCCGTGGCCATGG